ACCATCAGTGGAGTCCAGACTGAAGATGCAGCAGTTTACTACTGTCTGAGTTTTCATTGGATCAACAGTCAAGCACCCACACACACTGTAAATTTTAAATTGCATCAAGTCGATTGAAAATGTCACCATACTGACATGCAACAACAAATATTTCAAATTATACTGACTTTGGAATACGAAAAACAATCTCAGCACTAAGTCCATCCACTACATGTTGTGGAGTTTTCAGTCACATCACTTCATCTTCCTTAGCAGATGGAGCCGCCCAAGTTTTCATTGAAATGTAGATTTTCAAATTCCCGTTCCTCTGTGGTGAAATTTATTTTACTCTAAAGCATGAACTTTCAGTCTCAACTTTTAGGTCAACATGGAGACACGGGAGCTCACACTTGGCCTTCAGAGTGGCGTTTCCAGGGACTTGGGGTCTCACAGCATGATCAAATGTGACTGAGACAGTCAGTCGTTGTCAGCTGGTTGCATTTGTGTGTGATATTTGTGGTGAATCTACACCTTGTTTATAAAATGATGGATGTTAACACTTGAGAATATTAATATCATTAGCAGTTTGGGGAAAGAAACTGAGACACTTTGGGAAATATTGAATTATCAATTTAATAATGACTTTATTAATCAATCAAACTACAGTAAATACAACTTAATAAAACAAAATATTGGTTATATGAACAGCGATAAATTCAAAATGTTGCAGTTTGATCAAAGGCAAACATTGAGATAAAGGGGTTATTTGGCTAAAGTGAAAAAAAGTTGCTTTCAAAGTATAATGGGAAATGAGTTAAAGGTCAACAAAAATTTAATGGTGGTGTAGTAGTGTAATAACTACAACATCATCAAGAACTCAATGGGGCTGTAGAAAAGTCTGGAAGCCAACTCAAAGCCAATTGCACAAGTCACGATCAAGTGCGGCATATACCAAGGTACCACTATCCCCACTGCTGTTCTGCATAGGCCTGAACCCCTCAGCCAGATCATCACAAAGACCGGTTCCGAAGTGGAACAACCATCAGTCACCTCCTCTACACTGATGACTCAAGCTGTCTGGAATGAGCGAGACATCGACTCACTGATCCACACTACCAGGATCTACAGCAACGACATTGGAATGTCGTTTGGACTGGACAAGTGTGGTCGCATGGTATCAACAAGAGGGAAGATGATCAGAACTGATGGGGTGAACTACCAGAAGGCTACATTGCAGATGTTCAGGACAGCTACAAATACCTTGGGGTGCCACAGGCAAACGGAAACCATAAGGAGGCAGCAAAGCACCACAGCCAAATACCTACAGAGAGTAAGGCAGGTCCTGAAAAGTCAGTTGAATGGGAAAAACAAGATCCGAGCCATCAATACACACGCCCTGCCTGTCATCAGATACCCCATTGGTATAATAAACTAGCCAAAGCAGGAGATAGAGGCTACTGACATCAAGACAAGAAAGCTTGTCACAATTTATGGAGAATCCAGCACCCTGAGACTGTACACCAAGCGTAGCGAGGGAGGCCGATGGCTAGTGAGTGTCAAGACCACTGTCCAGGATGAAACAACAAAGATCCAGGAGTACATCAGGAAGATGGCCCCCAAAGATGAAGGGCTTAGTGAGTACCTCAGGCAGCAGAAACCCGAGGGTGAGGACAAGGAAGATGAAGAACCTTCATGGAGGGACAAGCTGCTGCATGGCATGTACCACAGACAAATAGAAGAAGTAACTGATATCAAGAAATCCTAGCAGTGGCTGGAAAAGGCTGGACTAAAGGACAGCAAAGAAGCATTAATCATGGCAGCACAAAACAGGCACTCAGTACAAGATCAATAGAGGCTGGGATCTACCACACCAGGCAGGACCCCAGGTGCAGACTGTGCAAGGATGCCCCTGAGACAGTAAAGTAAATAACAGCAGGGTGTAAGATGCAGGCAGGAACAGCGTACATGGCACGCCATAACCAGGTAGCTGTCATAGTGTACAGGAACATCTGCCATGAGTATGGGCTGGAAGTCCCGAGGTCAAAACACCTCCTAAGGTAGTTGAGAATGACCGAGCTAAGATCCTGTGGGACTTCAAGATCCAGACTGACAAACTGGTGATGGCTAACCAAACAGCAGAAGAAGGCATTAGTGATAGATGTGGCAATCCCAAGCGACAGCAACATCAAGAACAAGGAACACGAAAAGCTTGAGAAATACCAAGGGCTGAAAGAGGAGCTAGAAAAGATATGAAAGTAAGAGCAACAGTGGTGCCATTGGTAATCGGAGCACTGGGGGCTGTGACCCTCAAACTGTGAGAGTGGCTACAGCAGATTCCAGGTAAAACATCGGAGGTCTCTGTCCAGAAGAGAGCAGTCCTAGGAACAGCTAAGATACTGCGCAGAACCCTTAAACTCCCAGGTCCTCTGGTAGAGGACCCGAGCTTGAGGATGACACATGCCACCCCGCAAGAGGTGAGAGTTTAAAAAAAAAAATTATTTTATATATATCAGCAAACCTGGAGTGAGAGAGGGTTTGGGGGTGCAGCAACCTGGTCAAGATGTATAAGGGGATGCATTGCGCGTTTGGGAGGTTTGGGAACCGCTAGGTCTAATACATAAAGGAGATATGAATTTTATGTCTATGATTTAAAAGCTCATTTTGACATCAACTTACAGTATCTGACCACACATGTGCTTTGCCTTACTGTTTGCAGCTTTTCAAAATACAAAAATATAATGGAATCTAATGCAGTAATCAGCTTTTGGACAATGCACATTTGTTTCTTCTTTCAATTGCATTGTAAGTTTTCTTATTTTCCACTGTTTCATTTGTTATTTATTGTTGCTATTGTTCAGAATATTTTTAAACAAAAGCTTTCAAAAAGTGATGGAGACATTCTGATTCTGACCCGTCCCCAGCGTCCCCAGTGTAAATGACACCTATCTGTTAATACTTTTAAATGTCCCGCCCCATCCAGGCTGTGATTGGCTGGTTCACGACACTGTCTTTTAATATTTGCCAAATAATCCAGAGTAGCCAGCCTGAAAAAGCAGATAAGAAAAGTCTTGTTCATGACCTTTGAACTCAGCCTCATACTGTTATGAGTTGTATTTTTTCCCTGTGGGTTTCTGAGTTTTGCCATTGTTTCATGTGTCCTTCTGTTTGCCTCTGTTTCTCTCATGTACTTCTGAATTATTTTGTCCATGTTTGTGCTATGTTCTGTTTAATCTTAGTTAAGTCTGTTTTCCCTGTTAGTTGTAGTTTATTGGTATATTTATGATCTGTCTGCTTATGTTCTGGATCAGTTATTTATATTCCTGGTTATTAGTTTCCTTATGGCTTTATTGGTGTCTCTCTGTTTTCCCTGGTGTCTCACTGTGTCTCGTTAGCCTCAGGTCTTTCACCTGTGTTGCTCCTGCCCTTGTCATTATCCCTTCTGTTCAGCCCTTGTCCGGTCATTGTTCGTGTTACGCCCTGTCTGTCGTGGCTTGGAGTTGCTCTGTCTCGTGTGGTATTTAGTCCTGCTTGTTCCCTGCTTGTTTACTAGCTGTCTCACGGAGTTATGGATTAGCTGTTTTGGATGTCTGTTTCGTTTGCTCATTTGGATTTAATCATTTTTGATTTTCTGGACTCTCTGGCCTCAGCCTGTAAGTGTGCTCGCTTTTGTTTGTTGAATAAATCTCAAGATCTGAACCTGCCTGTTCCATTGTCTGCATTTTGGGTTCTCCAACCTGTTTCTGCCACAAATCGTAACACATACTGGATTAAAGCAATTTCAACTATGTACATTTAACTGAAAATATGAAGACACAGATCGGTATCAGAAACATTCAGGATCAGAGACTGTCCAAACAAAACCAGTACATCCCTGAAAGCACAAAATAGTATTTTAAATATAAATGCATCTCATCTATAGAAAAGCTAAAAATCAACTTATATCATAAAAATTCAAAAGAAATAAGTAACCTCCTTGATATAACTGTATCTGCATTTACTATATAAACAAAACCAAATAAACATTTTCTCTAACATGCAAATCAAAACTCCACAAATACACTGTGACTAAATGTTTATTCTTTACCTTGGAAATGGCAAAACAAACTCAACATCCATCCACTAACTGTTATGGAGCTTTCTATCACATCATATGATCTCAGCAGATGGAGTCACTCAGTTTTCATGGAAATGTAGATTTTCAAATTCCTATTTCTCTGAGCATTTTTAGGACTTCATGTCCACATTGGCTTCAGAGTTCAAATTTTTCATGACAGCTGGGTGAACTCCATCTGCTGAGGAAGATTATTTCATAAAAAAAAGTAATGTAACTGATGATGACTTCCATGTTTTCTAGTTGGAGTTTCTCGAGGAAGCTCTCTGAGATCGTTGGCCTCAGAATCCCCTCAAACACCCAACACTACTTTACTTGAAGAAACTTCCATATTACAGACACCTAAAGATATCAAACCTACATTGATATTAATGTCACTGATCAATGTCTAAAACACCATATTACATGTAGAGGATCCTGAAAATGAGAAGTTTTCAGGATCCTCTACATGTAAATATGTAAATATGTAGATCAACGCTCTCTCTTGAATTGAATTTTGAATTAACAAACATTTTATGGTTGATGACAGCAACGCTTTCAGCATGAAAAATACATATATAAATACACTTTTAGGAGTATATTTCAGTTCAGTTTTATTTCTTCAGAGGGATAAAACTTAAGAATAATTTTGAATATATAATAATATGATTTCATATATAATAATAATTTATAGGTGCAAATTACATCTTAACAACATAACTTATCATGAACTGACTTCAGTGATACCAGATAAGAGTGTTTTTTTATGAATAAAATGCTTTAATCATTAAAATAATGTTAACAAGGTTCAATAAAGCTGACAGAAACCTCGGAGATGTTATTCCCCAGTCATGAAAGATGTTTAATTTTAACAAGTATTCCGAATGTAAATCATAAAATTTGTCACTCTGGTATATATAAACAAGAGGAAGCCATTATTTGATATTTTTATTGCATGAATTATTAAAACCATCAGCAATACAACAAGCAAGAACACATTGATATTGAAATGTGTAATGACAGAAAAGAAGAACCAGAGAGAGTGCAGACTGAGAGCAGTAGCAGAGTAAAACCAGTAGCAGAGTGCCAGTGAGTCAGGTCAGGACTGGGAACACTGGTCTCTCCTCAGTGTCTCTGAGACCAGAGCCTGGGAGCCCTGGGTGGCCTCACAGGTCACAGAGCCCACCTTCCTCCACTGGTCTGCAGGGAGCCTCAGGGTGCTGCTCCAGCTGTAGCGGCCGTCCTTCTCCAGCACCCCGGGGCTCCTGCTCTCCTCCCAGCTGCTGCTGCTGCTGCTGCTGCCGTCCACCTTCCAGGCCAGACTCCAGTCTGAGGGGAAGCCCTTGTTGGCCAGGCACATGAGCGTGGCCTTCCCCTGCTGCAGCTCCTCACTGGAGGGGGGCAGCACCGTCAGGGTGGGACGGACATCACCTACGAGACACCAATCAGCTTAGAGGACACCTTTACTGTGTGAGAGCTGATTTTCTCCTTTAAGGAGTTTCTGTCAGATGTTTTTTTCTGCTCCACCAGTCACTCACTCACACATTGTTTCACTTCCCTTTAAGAAGCCTCTCATGCAAATCAGCACAGAGAGAATCATCATACAGAACGACCTGAAATATATCAAACTACACTGGAAATAAAATAACAAACTTTCTTATCAAGATCATCAAAAACTTGACTGTACAATAATTTATTCAGTGGAAACTAAAACAGAAATGATCAAACAATAAGATGTTCTTCATCTGGATTTCAAAGTGTTTCTTCACTTACATTAATAGCTATAATGATGAGTTGAACCACTAGATACAGTTTAAACGTTGTTACTTTTCAAGTGCAAATTCAGTCACACAGGTATCACTCCTCAGCTGTATCACTTCACTTATTGACAGATACACTGACCACTGTGTTGAAAGTAGTGCCAGTTGTCCTTTCACTATTAATATGGAAATATTGTATTCTTTTTCCAAATTCATAACAATAGGCAACAATTTTAAAACACTCATATTTATCACTTCACTTCAATTTTACCTGAAGAAAGTGAATTGTATTTAATCACAACAACAGCCATTATTGTGGTGAACATTTTAAACTAAACTCAACATTTTTACATTAAGATTAAAGTTTTATATTTTTTCCACTTCCAAGTTGATTATATTTCATTTTGACAGGACTGTGTGAGGAACAGTTTAGTTAAGCTGCTCTGAGTTAGCCTCCATGGTAAAGGAAGAGAAATAAAAACATGAACAATAAGAGTTTCATAATTAAAACAAGATATATTTATCCGCCTTAAACATTGAAAAGTTTAATTTAAAGCAGGACTTTATAATATTGTATTTAGTATTTGAGCAGAAACTTACTTCCAACATCCAGTCTGGTTCCTCCACCAAAAGTCAACCACAGTGATACAAACTCATTGAGCCGCCGTACAAAAACCTCTCACTGTAGAGAGACACGGCTCTCTGACTTTGACACAAACAAACTCAACAAAAATAGTTTCTGTTTGTAACATTTTATCAGCTGACATGTGAAAATATGACTGTTTTAATTTGATATGTTAATTTTAGGGCTGCGTTAACGCATTATCGCGTTAAAGCATTCATTAATTAACGGCGACAGTTTTTTAAATTATTATTTTGAAAGTCCGTTGCTCACTGGCTCTGAATACACATAGGCCTACAATCAAACCATGGGTCACAGGAGAGGTGGGATGTTGATCAGCCAGCAAAATAACCCAAACAAGCAGCGGAGAGGCTTCAGCAGTTTCTCAGGTGAACAGACAGGGAGACAGCTCTCTGCGAGTGAACGGCCGGCGCTCTATGGATAGTAACCATGGCAACGGCTTCTGTGCGCTTCACAGCCGCAGCCTTTAACTTAAATTAAAATTATACACAGGCTAACTTTACCTGATTATAATAATTAATTGTAATTAAAAAATTTAATCGTTGCCCAGCACTAGTTCAATTAACTGAAATAACTTAGAACATATTTTAAACAAAATATGTCTAGAAGCATAAAACCAAAATCATATAAAATAGTTTTTTTTTTTAAATATTATCAATACTCTGATAAAGTGATTAATCCATTGATAAAAATCAGAGTAATCCAAGTCCCTGCTGGAGTCAGTCAGAGCATTTCCATAGAGAGCCACTTTGCATCAGCAGCACCATGCTCCAGTGCTCTGGGAGAGTTTATAGTCCTGAGAGTTGAACACTGGATGACTGACAGCTGTCCTTCATGACAACAGAAGCCACAGAAATCCTCCTCATCAAAAACATGACTTTGATCTGCGTCCTCATCTGGACTCTCCTCTGCTGCTGCTTCACAGGTAAAGTCCAGAGAATCAAACTCCTCTCCTCTATGAACATCCGTCCCTCTGAAATGAAGCCCACAAAACCATGACGCTGCTTTATGTTTTTGTCTCTGTATCCTCAGAGTCCAGAGGCCAGGTCACAGTGACTCAGCCTGGAGCAGTGAGCTCTGCTCTGGGAGGCTCCGTCTCCATCAGATGTAGGACCAGTCAGGATGTTTACTATAGCAGCCCATACCACCGGTTAGCCTGGTACCAACAGAGAGATGGAGAAATTTCTAAACTGCTCATTTACAATGCTAACATTCAAGCATCAGGGATTCCAGGTCGTTTTACAGGCAGTGGATCAAACTCTGACTTCACTCTGACCATCAGTGGAGTCCAGACTGAAGATGCAGCAGTTTACTACTGTCAGAGTGGTCATGTTATCAACAGTCAGTTGTGTTCACACAGTGAAAAAGCGTCGTACAAAAACCTCCCTCAGTCAGACTGAACAGAAACTGAAGTGACTGCTGCAGCTGGAAGCTACTGCAGAGATTGATACACTTCACTGAGGACACACACACACACACACACACACACACACACACACACACACACACACACACACACACACACACACACACACACATATCATTGACCTTGATTAAACAAAACAAGGTCAATGATAAAAATATATTGTTAATAATAAATTAGTTTCTCCATCACAACATCTCACTATACATTCATATCTAAATGTGCCATTATCTTGTCTTAATTGCCAAGTCATCCAAAGGAGCCACCCTGGGACCGTTAAGAAGAAAAGTCATGACCTTTTACCTCAGTCTCAGGCACAGATCAGCATCAGAAAATCTCATAATCAAAATGGCTCACAACTGCATATACTTTTTATGAAATATATGCAATAACACATGTTCTTTTACATGCACCTCAAAACTATAGACTGTAAATAAAAAGCTCAAAACCAGACAAGTGAATCGAGATCAAAAGTTCATTCTTAATGGAACTATATGTAAGTTTTTCAATGAAATTAATCCAGCTTCCATTGCCTTATTGTCAATGGGCTCAAAACTCAGTTAGAAACGAAGCACAAGCCTGTTTTCTCTCCTGGTTGCATCAGACACTATTCTGCTTGTAATGTGGGGACACCGGGTCAGATTCAGCTCTGTTCGCGCTCCTGAGCCTCTTTCATACTACAGCATAAACACGGCAGTTAAAGACATGCATTCCACTAACACCATAAAACCACCGACTCACAGTAAGGATACAAAACAACAATAAAGGCTTATGTGCTGAAGGCCATCAGACCAAACAGGTTCAGATGATGTTTATCATAATGGTGACAACTCTTTGTTTTGAGTTAAAACAGGCAGAGTACGAGTGAGGAAACTGTGGTGAGGTTAGTTTATCTGCAGTCTTGGATAAATGAGTCTCCTGTAGTAGGACAATGTCTGCTTGCACATAATTTAGATTAAAACAATTTAATCTCTTTTCCAACTCCGCGAACATTCCAAGAGGTGAGCTTAAGTGTGGTCATCATTCAACTAAGCTTGATTTATACTCCTGCCTAGGATCTATGTGCGAAGCTACCCGTAGGCTACGCACGTAGCCATGCATTTATACTTGTGCGTTTCTTGTCCGTCTCTTTCACGAATTCTATACGTGTGGCTGGTGTAGCCTTTTCAAATGATATCGACCGAATGGATCACATTCTGATAGTGAAACGAGTCATTTCGCTCGGGTTGTGATGGTCAAATATATTGATCCACGAGTTCAGCCACTGTTTTGGCCGCTAGTAAAAGTTACTTCAAAGCACAGGACACTTTCTATCGGCTCTGAGGTATTGTGAGGCTACGCAGCCGACAAATCACAGTGCTTACGGTTTGCGTTACCTCGATGTGTGGTTACATTTTTGAAGAAGTGCACGTCAGGCTATGGCGTAGGTGACAGTGTAGGGTAGGGGGCTATGCAGAGGCTACGCCATCAATTCGTTGCAGAAGTATAAATTATACTTAAGGGATGTAGTGTAGGCTAGTGTGTGTTGTATCCTTGTGTGTGGTGTGTGTTGTATGCGCCTGTATGTGTGTGTCTATGTGTGCATGTTGTATGCACCTGTGTGTGTGTGTGCTAGCGATGTGCCCGAATTAAACAGCATGAAAATAGCGCGGCTGATCAACGTGTAAACGGAGAGAAAGAGCACCATTAACAAAAGAAAGAAACAGTGAAACAAAAACAGAGGAAAACCCACAAAACATTATCAGACAGTCTAGTAAGATAACCACAGTGTTGAGACGTGAACTGTATTTTATAACTAGGCCTATTAACCTGCCATCTGTCACGGAGAAATTAACTGAGAAGGAAAGAGGGAAAAAATTATTGCATAGTGATAAAGTTCACCCGTTGCTGGATTTGGTTCTTAGTGGAAAAAAAGGAGTGGTGTCTCTGTCGCGGTACAGCTGGCCATCAAACGTAAAGTTTATTCATCATCTGCAATAAGCTTCTTTCTTATCAGGAACAGGATCTCCTGGGGAAACCGGTTGTTCATGCTGCAGTTGGTTCCTCTCAGCTCCCTGCCGCGGCCTTTAACCAGTTCCTTCTGCTTGAAGTGTTCAAACTTCACGACCATGGGCCTGGGTTCTCCCAGGCGGTGTACTCGATCAAAGGCAAGCGTCCGGGAGCTTCAGATGATTTTGAATGAAGCTCCTCTGGGGCTTCATCCGCCTGCTCCGGGACAGGCCCGCTGTAAGGAATTTTGGACAGGGGGACAACATTTTCCAAACTGGGCCCCTCATCAACACCCAATCCAGCACCACCTCGACCAACTTCTTAGTTCTAAAACAAACAAGGGCAATTTCATAGAAGCTCTTGGCCATTAGCCTTATAGTGACACAGATGGCGTCTTTAAATAAAGGTCAGGTTACTGGAGTCATATACATAGACTTTCGAAAAGCTTTCGATACAGTTAACCATCAAATTTTGTTAAATAAACTTCTTTCTTTTCATTTGTCCTTCTCTGCAATAGATATGTTTAAATCATATTTAAGTGACCGATCTCAGACTGTAAGAATCGGCTCGGTAACATCACAGTCATGAGTGTGTTTATGGGAGTTCCACAGGGCAGCATCTTAGGTCCTTTACTTTTCCTTATGTACATTAATGATCTTCCTAATGTGTTTGATGTTTCTAGTACTTTGTTATATGCTGATGACACTGTCATTTTTTTGTCTGGCTCAGATATTGATACAATTAATTACAAACATAACTCAGACCTATAGCATTTACATGATTGGCTACAGGATAACCATTTAACACTTAATACTAAGAAAACAGAATGTATGTATTTTTATTCATCTAGGAAACAACTGTCTATATCAAATTTCATCACCTTTTCTAATCAAAAACTTTCAATTGTATCCACGTATAAGTATCTGGGAGTCTCTCTTGACTCACATCTTACTTATCGTGACCATGTCCAAATTTTAACCAGAAAGTTAAACCAAAAGTTATTTGTTTATAGTAAAATTAGACCATATTTACTGCATTCTGTTTCTAAAACATATCTTCATGCCATTATATTGTCCACTCTGTCATATTGTTTACCTGTTTGGTAACTCACAACAAATGAGATCCTTGAACCTGTAGCGAGACTCTACAATAGAGCCTATAAGATTCACAACAGGCTTCCAGGCTGGACTCACCACTGTGTTGCACTATCTTTGAGTAATGCCTTGACATTTCAGAACTATAGAATAAGCCATGGTTTGAACCTTTTTTATCAGATCTTAAATGGACACACTACTGCAGGATTGTCTGCGCTAGCTCCAAAACTCAGCTCAAGGCCCGAACGCACTACGAGATCTGTTGCAAATGGACTTCTCCCTATACCAGCTTTTAGAAACTGCTATGGACAGAAATCTTTCTTTAATTTACTCACTAGAGCCTGGAATGATACTCCACAGCACATCAGATCTATAACATCAATAAGACTATTTAAACAAACTTTTGCTCGCCATCTGATGGACAGGTATATCTGTGATAGCTTTATGACCTCCACATCGTAGTTTGTGTGCTTGTTGCTGTG